CATGATGCAATCAGGAAAAGTAATTGTGCCTCCTTGCATTCTCTCTGCAGGTCACCACCTCCCACAGCCCAGCTGCACCTGGGGAGCAGGGCAGCGGAGAATGCCTCCTGACCGTAACCCTGGCTGGTGCTCCGTATCAGGCTGTGGGCTCCGTCCAGGGCACCACACCTGTGCTGCAGGTGCTCAATGGCGCAGTCTTTAAACCAGAAGTGCCTCTCCGCCGGGGCCTGCCCCTGCTCATGTTCCGGGCTCAGCCCTCCAACCCTGCAATGCTGCCTACCATGATTGGTGAGGAGGGATTTGGGTGGTGGGGTTGGCCAGGGTTCTTAAGGCAGAGGTGAGGTCTGCCCTGTGATTAGGCCCTGCAGATCTTCTTCCTTTGATCCTTCTCCATGCATTAGGGAATGTCTGGCTCTCTACCATACAGAGGATCTGTCTTGCCAATTTATAGAACAGTTAGGGCAGATACCAAGTTCAGAGAGAAAAAATGCTTTATCTAAGCCTCAGAGCAGTGTGGCAGGGTTGGGACCAGAATGTCCATCACCATCCTGGCCATGAGTCCCAAGATTGCCATATTAAGCACCCTGCTTGCACCTGCCTGCAGAGCCATGTCCCATGAGTTCAGGGCCATTGAGTAGAGATTTCCTTCTTGCCTGTAAGCCCTGGTGGCCAGCCTAGCCACAGCAAAACCTATATCGGCATCCCGTCCTATACTTGGGGCATCTTAGACCTACCCCAGTCTCCTGGGGCCTATACTCCTGGGGTTTTGAGCATGTCCAGGGGTTCCTAATTTCATCATTCTTGCCAACTGCCCAGAGGAACTTTCCCTGTTTTTCTCCCTTGCTGTTGGCCTGGCAAACAGCAAGTCAAGAGCTATATAGTTCTTTGCTGATATGCCTGGTGGTCAGAGTGTGCCTGAAGAATCTCCGAAATAATCAAGGGAGGCTGGGCAGATGTTCTGTTGCTCCTTCCATCTAGGCTCCTCAGTACTGAGACCAGCATCCTCCCATTGCAACTCTGATCATAGAAGCCTGACTTCTGACTGCTCCCAGTTCCTCACTTTCCCCAACGCTCTATGCCAACAAGGGTTTCTTTTACTTCTAGGCCTCCTGGCGGAGGCAGGTGTGCAGCTGCTGTCCTACCAGACCTCGATGGTATCTGATGGGGAGACCTGGCACGTCATGGGCATCTCCTCCCTGCTGCCCAGCCTGGAACCGTGGAAGCAGCATGTGTCTGAGGCTTTCCAGTTCTACTTCTAACCCTGGGGCTCCCTGGTTCTGGCCTCTGAGGCTTCTCTGAAGAAAACTACCCACTGTGAACCATTAGGAAGGGAGATCCACATTCCTAGGGCTGACATTGCTGCAATCCTCTGACCCCTGCAATGTAGCATCTAATAAAGAGCCTTCCCCAAGTTCTCCATGTCTCTTTTTGGTGTTGTTATTCTTAAGAGCCACCAGAGGGCATCCGTGGCTAGCCATAGGGCTTGGTTTGGGCTGCCAAAGAGGAGCGGGTGTGGAAGAAGTTTGCAGTGGACAAATGCATTACTGTGGTATTCTGAATGTATCCCTCTCCTATTTAAGGTTATTCAAAGGTGTTTCCACAGAAACAAAGCTCAGGATATTTCAGATTCCTATGGTATTTCAGATCCCTTCCTTCTGGAAATATCTGTGCACATTAATAAATAAAATTCATCAAACAAATGTCACACTATGTGCTAGGAACTGGATTAGTTCCTAACCCAGCTTTGCTTTAAGAGAAATCAAGTCCCCCATAGAAATCTTCTGGTGGGAGGGGCACAGCCTGCCGTTCACTGGACCCATGCAGTTGTGTGGGAGATGACCTTGAGTCCCAAGAAGAAAGCACTTTGGAGGCTGTTGGTGTCTCAGGGCAGGTGTTTGGAAGAATTCCACAAGGGGAACAAAGCGTGTGTAAAGGTTTGGGGGCATGTGGATATTTGGCAAGCTCACAAAAAAGCAAACTTAAAGTGTTGTTCACGGAAAGTATGGGCTTCTTGATGCAAAAATTTTCCTCTTGAGAGCTTTTCTGCCCCAGTCGTTCATTCCCAGGCTGCCTGCTGAGAAGGCCTGGCACTGGGCACCTGCCTGGGTTCAAAGGAAGCAAATTCACCACTTTAGCCTCCTTAGTTCCACAGGGTTGAATACCAACCACAAAGGCGCTGCCGGCATCTTCAGTGAGCTTGGAGTGTACACTGTGGCCTTAATGCAGCAAACCTTGAAGTGATGGGCCCACACAAGAACAGAAGGTCAACTCTGTGCAGCTCCTTGACCTGGAACACAGTGTTAATTCTCCCAAGCCTCTTTCTTTATCTGTCGGAGGCATAACAAGGCTTTCAAAGCTGCAGTGACAGATTGATGGGTTAAGAAGTGGTATGTGGGTGCCTGGGACACATGGTAAACATTGGTATCTTCATTCCTATGCCTTCCTGACAGTAGACAAGCAGGTCTCAATCTTACATGGAACCCCAAAGACCAAAGAGCCTTCCATAGGCCCTCATGGTGATGGCATCTGGCCACATCTTAGACAATGGGTGTCCTAACATCAGTCAAACCATTTCCTCCTATTGGAAAAATATCTGTGCTTCACATGGCATCTGTCAAGGCCACACACTCTCACTGATAACTGGAAAAACAGGCTAAGATGGTCAATATCATCATTCAGTTAAGTTGAGCTAAATTTTCAACCCCTTAGTCTCCTTGCTGAAAATCCCTAGATAAAACCACAGTGCACACTAAGGTGGTCAGGACAATTCTAGAAATCCAAATGACTTAAGCATCTCAAAATGTCTTCTGGGACATGATTCACACAAGGGTGCATGGGCAATTTCATTGCATCACCTGGCTGTTCACATAACCTCTCCTACATTTAAAAGACATTGGTTTATCCCCCCTGTCCACCATGCTAGAATGAAACCCAGGGTCTTATGCATGTTGGGCAAACACCCTACTGTGGAGCCCTATGCCAAGCACCAGGATTAATTTTGAAATGCAGCTGGTGCTACATGGAGGATGCCATTAACTCTTTTGTGTTACTCTGGCTTGTGGCATCTCTGTACCACCTAACTTTAGAGTGGAGTTTCACTCTTGTATATGTTGGCTGGAAAGCAGAAGTTTCCAGAAGTTCAATAATGGAGGTAGAGCAAATGCTGGAAGGACACAAGGGAACTGGTTTCAAAATAACTGACTCCTGAGGCTCTGAGATTCAGAAATAGCTATGTGTGTGCACAGTGCGTCCCCTTAGAGACCTGAAGTTGCCTCATGGACACTGGATTGGGCCCATTCCTCACATCTGTCTACATATAACATTTGAGCATTTTCATTTGAGGTGAGCATTCTAGTCTAATACTCCATCCTCTTGTACATCTCACTGTAGGTCACTCCTGAGTGATGCTTTGCCCACACAGGCAAGTTCTTTTGTCTGCCTGGTATCAGCAGATCTTTGGGTGCACATGGTGACAGGACAATCGGAAACTCATGAAATAAAACTCAGACATATTTTTATCTTATTTTTAGACAGGCTGACCTTGAACTTGTGATCCTCTTTCCTGAGTTTCTGGAGTAGCTGGGATTACAAGTGTATGCCACCACACCCGGCAGGTGCCAGTTTTAATGAAATGGATCCTAGAATTGTTGGAGGAAGACTTAGGGCTCAGTATAAAAGATGGTTAGAAAGGTGAGTGGAGGGGGACCAAAGATATGTGTGGTACAATGGTGGTGACCAACAGTGATGACCAAGGCCATCCTGAGTGCTCTGCATGTGATCTAAGTCTGATATTCATCTGGTGTACCAAGGCAGTGTCCACTGATATTCTGTGCCCTGATAGGCCAGTGCCCTGATATTCTGGTTCCTAAATATTCTTAAGATCATTTTTGGTTGTGTTCAAATGATCCCTAGGGGAGGCAGGCCTGGCCCTCGCACTGAGTAATGAGGAAGTCCTGTTGCTAAGAACTAGGGAGGCCTTTCCAAACACCAACAACCTACAGAGAGCCCCAGACTGGATGGAAGGTCAGGCTAAATTTTGTCCATCTCAGAACTCGGGTAACATGGACTTTTCTCCCTTGAAGACAGACACTACTTCAGAGATCTTAGGAAGGGCGGTAATTGTTCTGCCAGAGATGGCCCAAGGATTGAGGGCCCCTGAGCAACTTTCTGAGGGGATACAGGCAGTAGGGAGTATGAGGAGCTGCTGTTAATCAGCTGAGCTGGTTAAGGAGTCTTCCAACAACACCTGACAAGGCCTGGGCAGTAACAGTTGAGGCTGGATTAGCTGCTCAAACATGTCTATCATGGATTTGCCGGTGACTGTGTGACATGACCAGTCTTGAGCAAAACAGCAAAGGCCCAGCATCTCATTTCCATATGTACCCCTTGGACTCCCTAGACAGCTGACTTTGCACCAACAGAACCTGTCTCTTCCACAGCCTTTTTTTTTTTTTTAAAAAGGCTGCAACCCCTGTTCTCCCCCTTCCTGTCCCTCTCTTTCCCCTACTCAGTTCAACCCCCGCCTCCCTGAACCTTTGTTATGAAGACCCTAGAAAAAGGAGTGTCCTCATCCAAGAGGGGGAAATTGTTTTAATAGAAATTTTCCTGCTAAGCATCAAACCTATAAAAATTTTTTTCATTTTCTTTTTTTGATCATGGTAGCTAACACGGGCCAGGTATGGCATGGAGGTCTGATCCACAGCTCCAGCGGGCCCCTGCCTGGATGACGATTGTAGAGCAGAGAATTGGGGGAAGCTATGTGTCACCATATTTATCTACCTTGTATTTTCCATGGTACTCAACACATGACAGAATTAAATGGACATTGGAAAGGAAATAGAGGGAACGAGACTATTCTGGTGGGCTGACGTACCTATTGGCTTGTTTGTGTTTTGTGTTTTAGGTTCCAGAAAACACAAGAATCACTTCCTCCTTCTTACTTTTTTTATTTGCCATATATTAGCTCAGAACAAGATACAAAATTGAGAAATTCATGGGAAACCTTAAGAAATGAGCAAAAATATAACAGCACAGAGGTTTAATAATAATAATAATAACAAAGCTGTAACAAATGAGCTTGATCTGGATCTTGAAGGAGACAACTGATCTGCCACATTTCTGGAGACCGGGGATTCAGGAAGAGGCCTCCTCCCCTTTCCTCCATCTCCCTCTTTCAAAAAGGGGCCCAGGTCCATAGCACCATGAGCCTGTGATAGTGACTGCAGCAGGAAGTCAAGGTAGAAGAACCTGCCAAGGATGGTCCCTCACTACAGGGTCAATGCTTATGGGGGCTACTGTGTCGTTTCTGATTTATTTACCAGCTAAGGGTGGAATTTGAAATATATGATTCGTGGGCAGAAGCGCTGCCAGCATACTTTCCCCAGGAACCAGTCCATGATTCTGTAGAAACAAAAAAATGATTCAATTGTGAGTCTCATCCTAAGCACCCTGACTCCCTGAACCTATGCCTTGGCTGAGGCACAGCTGTGCAAAGGTGCTCCCCTAACAGTATCCTGAGTTCTAGGGTGCTCTAACTGCCAGTTTAGCTTCAATCCTAAATGCCTGAGGGACCTAGCATCCATAGCCAAGTCTGGAGGGGGGGGTCCCCCTTATAAGCTCTGCTTGTGATAGGAGAACAGCCTAGGCAGGCTGGAACAGTGCAGGAAAAAATCCACAGAGCTCCACACTGACGTAAGACCTTCATTTTAGCTAAAATCTCATTACAGTGAGTTCATTGCTCATGTGAATAATCAGCAGGAGAAAAGTACAAGAGCCCCAGTTTTCTCTTTATAGGCACAAGGCCATCTAGACACATGTGAAGTAAGGAGCCTGATTTAGAAATTCTCCTTGGAGGTACTTTGCATTAGGCAGAGGGGAGAGAAGAAAGGGGAGGGGGTATGGGGGTAGAAATGACAGTAGAATGAATCAGACATTATTACCCTATGTGCATATGGGACTACACAACCCTTTGTGAATCTACATCATGTACAATCTGAAAAAGGAGAAGTTGCACTTCATTTATGTATGATGTATGTACATGTATATATCATGCATTCTACTGTCATGTTAAACTAATAAGAACAAATTAAAAAAAAAGAAATTCTCGTTTGAAAATCCCAATAGATAAGCAGAAAGGAAGAGGGACGAGCAATTTCTCTCTGTCTCTTGTCTCTTGGCTACTGAACTAGTTAAACACATTTAATAGCTGCCTCTTTGCCACTGATTGATTTGTCCCCAAAGAACTCTATTTCAAACTCTCTGGTTATACCGAAGTCTTCTGAGCTGATTCTCAGCCTCATCCTGCAGCCCTGGCCTGTCAGTCCCCCTGTCCACTTTGCCCAGTCCCTAACATCTGAGCTACAGAACCTCAGCAGCCTAGCTAAGGAGGCTAAGCAACAGAGAATGCCCCAGTGGTTAGGGTCAAACTGACGGGACCTTGTCCTGCACTTTTCTTGCCTCTTCTCATGAAGCTTATCTGTGCCTCTCCCTTATCCACCGACTTCTTCCTTTCCTCCTCCTGCTCCCTGCTCTGCCCTTGACATAACTTCTTATTCTTCCCACTTCATTTACCAAAGGAACAGAAAAAAATAATTTTAAAACTTGGGTATGGCGATTATATTCATTGAGATTTGGGGTTGTAAAAGAAATTGCTTCTTGTTCTTTCATTCTGTGTATCTATTTGATAGATACACCGAAGCAGATACACTGGGTACATGGATTACAGGATTGCAATTTTGAGTACTTGAATGCCATAAATAAATAATTCTTTCACTTTTCCTCTCACCTCAGTCCTCTTCTATTAAACTCTCTTCTCTCCCTACACTCATCCCACTAATGTCCCAAGCCTCATTTATTCTCTCCAGAAAGAATCTTGTAAAACCCAAGAATTGTCACATAGTTTTAATCTAAAGCTCCCTCCCACCAAGGCTTCTGGCTCTAGAGAACCTCACAATCCCCCAGCTCCTTAGTGACTGTCCCCAACACATTAATGGATTGCCTTTCTGAAGCCATCATCTTTGTCCCTGATTTCGTCTCCTTGGAGCAATGAGTTCCTTAGGTTCAGTGTCACTGCCAACTTCCTCTTACAGACGCTAAGTTTGTTTCTATCAAGGCTCTAGAGGAGGCTCTATCTCAGGCTCTTTTTTTAGTTAAACAAGTCTGATGTTTTTCTTCATATTCAAGATTTCAGAACATGTCCCTCTCTTTTGCCTTTCCAAGGCAAAGAGCTCCTAGAGTTTTCATTTTCCCAACTAGTACAACCCCCCCCCCCCCCCACCCATAATATCAGAAGCTATGAATCTTCTCTCTCCTGGTAACAGAACTTCATATGTCACCAGAGGAAGGCATCACCACCAACCCTGCAAGCTCTCACTCATCACCTTTAGATGGGACGCCGGGCATACTTTCGGCGATGCATTTCATCCACTCGCTCTAGGTACCAAGTACCTGGGAAAAGGTTGTTTGTATCTCCAGGTGGTGAGAAATTTACTGTGGAATGAAGAAAAGGGACAAGACTCACAAAGAGGAAGAGAAAATATTAATAGGAATATTAATAGGAATGTCTACGGGTTCACAATTAAGTGATCCCGACTCAGGGTCACCTTCAATACAGCAAATAGAACACTGGACCAGCCTGGCAAGGTGGTCACTCTTGTAATCCCAAGGTCTTGGGAGGCTGAGAAAGGAGGATCACAAATTCAAGGCAAGCCTCAGAGATGTAGCAAGACCCTCAGCAAGTTAGTAAGACTCTTATCTCAAAATAAAAAATAAAAAGGCCTGGAGATGTAGCTTAGCCATAAAGCCCTTCTGGGTTCAATCCCTAGTACCAAAAAAGAAAAGAACACAGAACCAAAGAAGCGTCATCTTGGATCAGGTACTTCAGGCTACCCAGCTATTCACAATTTCATCATATGAGTTTAACATTTTGCCACAGTAAACATGCCCTTAATCCACTAAAATCTTCACATATCCATCCCTTTGCCAGTGGGGATGTAGGTTGATGTGTATCTCAGAACATCCTATTCCCTAATAAATACTACTTTCCTGGTCGTAAGAACTCTGGCTCTGGTTCATTATAGTGCTTTAGTGCTTTTTCCATTAATGGGCATCTCAGAGGGGCCAATTTTTATTTTTATTGTTTTTCTTCACTCTAGTATGTCCCTGTTCCAGATGAGATCAACGATCACTGGGTCAAGGTCTTTGGAACATTCCCAGTTCCATATATTCTTTCTCCTTTTTAGACCACTCTGAAAATCATATGCTTCAGGTTTTGCTTGATAATATCTAGTTACCATTGTTTGAAAATCTCCATCTAATCTCTCCAGTTTTTTTGTTCCTTTTCATCTATTGCTTTTGGGGAGCTTTTTTTTTTTTTGGTTTTTATGTTTGATGGAGAAAGGGGTCCATTGGGAGGAGATAATAATATTTGTTGATAATTTATTTAAGTCCATTAATTTATTGAATCTCTTTGAAAATCCTGCAGTTAGTGTGATTTTAGAAATGTGACATCTGAGAAAAGTTCAATAATTTTTCCCCAAAGACAAAGAGATAGTAAATGACACAGTTCAAGTTTAGATTTAGATATCTTGCTTTAAAGTCTGGGATCTTGCAACATTTAAACAGGAACATTTTCAAAGACTATCATAGCTTTCCTGGGAAAATATTGTCTGGTATGTGAAGTGTGCATAGCTATAATCCGTGCTGAGAAGCACCATGCTGCCTCCTTCTTCTTTCCAACTCTGTCTTCTGCTTCCCCTGGGTGGGAGTTTTTACTCCTTTTAACAACATATTTTGTCCTAATCATATGTCACAAAAGTCTGGACTGTGGCCCAGGATAAGCTAGATTTCTGGTGAATCCTGGATCCCAAGCTACTGGCCTGGAACACGAGAGGACTTGCCTCTCCTCCTCCTCCTCTCTTCTGCCCTCTTCCTTACCCTTGTGGAAGAATTGCTCTCTTTGGTTCATAATTTCTGTGAATTCCTCGGGAGACATGCGTTTCCGAGAGGCAAGGCGTTTTGGCAGGTCTGATATGCTATTCACCAGTGTGTCTAGTGGGGAACCTGGGGAGCCAAAGCAAGATTGTTAGGCCTTCTTTACTGTCATCATACGCTAGAACAGTGCTAGGTTCTGTGGTAGCTTGCACCCTGGGGGAAGTGTCTTAGTGTCCCTTTGACTATCAGGAAATGATAAACAACACACAGGCAGACAAACTCACTTAGTTTAGGTTAGATCTTAGATGTGCTTGGATGTGCGTCCTGGATTATACCAATCATAAAGTAATCAACAAACACTTACTGGAAATCTCAAATCCAGCAACTTGTCTCTAGCTAGTTGCAACTAAACCACTATTAACTCTTGCCTAGACTATCACACAGGAATACTCTAACTGGTCTCCCTATACCCACCTTTATTCTTTCTCACCTAGTCTCTAAATAGTAGCTAGGGAAGTGCTGTAAATACATAAATTACACAAACTTACTCCCTTGCTTAAATATCTTCAATGGTCTTTTATTTGGTTTTAATCAAAACATAACAGCCTCCAGCAGGGGTGAGGCAGAAGATGGCTTCTTTCACGAGATGAATCTTGTCAGGAGTGGCTGATGAAGATGGAAGACTCACCTGGAGAAGCATCTTGGGACACTCGAAATGAAAAAAAACTTGCTGCTAAGCCAGAGCCATAGGAGAAGGCACCAATCCTGGAGCCAGCCAAGTCCTGAGCAGAGTGACTGCAGGGGAAAGAAATTAAAACAAATGACACGCCAGCATTATATTTGACACTTCAAATAAAAAAAACGATCTGCCTATCAGGCCAATCTTGTCCCCGTGTACCTCATGCAACTAGAAATGCACTCCTAGAGCTGCACACAAAGAGGGCCTTTTGGTAGATCCTGGGGACAGGCCCAGATGTAGGAAACCTTGCCAAAAGGAGAGCCAGCAAAATCCAAAACATATAAGGCACAAGGAGCACAACAGAATTTCAGGTGTAAAAGGAACTACTCCCCTCTCATGATGACAAGCAGGATTCAGTGAAGGTGCATCCAGGTGGAAGCAGGCCCCTGGACTCACCCTTAAGGCTCCCAGTTGACTGGTAATGGACTCAGATTTTTGATCACCCCCATCAGTAAAAATTTAATCAAGCTCCCCCATAAATATTTTTTTTCTATGTCATATGCAATGTTTTCCTATAAACCTCATAAAATAGAAAAGAAAAACAGCTAACATTTGAGTCTGCTGAGAATTGTAGTTTTGTTTTTAGACGCCCCCCAAAATGTAGTTTTTATTCTCATTCAAACTTTAAAAGCAGGTATTGTTATACATATTTCACAGGTATGAAAAGTGAGACACATACAGTATTACTTTTTTGGTTGTTTTTGCTGCTTTTTTTGAAACAAGGTCTCTACGTTGCCCAGGTCCCCTGACCTTGAACTCCTGGGCTCAAGCAATCCTCCTGCCTCAGTATTGCAAGTAGCTGGAACTATAGGAATAAGTCACCATGCCTGACCCAGGTTAAGTATTGTTTTCAAGGTCGAAGTTTCTAGATTTGAATCCAGGTTGTGGGCTCTAAAGCTAGAGCCTATTAACCCATAATTTCTCCTAAATATAGAGTATATAAGTAAATGAAATGAAAATATGTACCCAACTTCTATTTTTGTGCTATGCCCAAGGTGATCTTATATAGCAATCCCTTGCAATACACTTTGGAGATCACTATTTAACACAAATAGTAAGTCTGCCTATACAGACTCCTTCAAAGCAAGTTTCTTTCATCTTCTTTCCTTCTTCCTTTCCTCCCACTTCTCTCCCTTCCTTCCTTTTAAGTCTGAACCAGAAGAGGAACCGGATTTGGTTGTCTCCTCAGACCAGGGGATAGGAGAGTGTGAGGTGGGCCAGAAGAAGTACTCACTGGGACAGAAGTGAGGCCAGGCACCCGTATAGGGACGAGGTGTACATGTTCCCGTTGTGTGTGGAAAGGTAAAGGGAGGCCTTGGTTTTTTTGTTGAACGTGTCCAGAGAGGCCTTTAGAAGTGCTTTGTCCAGGTCCTTGTTGGTGTAGGTGTCTTCCAGCTTTAGCTCCCTGGAGGGAGCAGAGGTAGCAGTTCAGAGGTCACAGGAGGGGAGAGGGTACAAGGGGGAAAGAAACAGCGCCTGGAAAGGAGGCTTTGGGGTACGTATTTTTATTGCAATACTCAGACATACAGAAAATCTCAAAGAAAACACAGCACTAACAGTTCTACTATTCATAGAATTTATGGGCTTATTTTTCTTGTGGAATCAATTTCTCCTTTCATAAAAGTCTATTAGAAAATCAGGAATAAAATCATATGACACATTCTGTTTAGCAAGCCTTCTTAACTCAGGATATATAGTTAGCAAACAATCATAAGCTTTGTCCATTCATTTTTGTACATTTACTAAGTATCTTCATATACAGGGAAAGAAGGGAAAGAACATCTTTATATATACTATGGCCAACCTCTATGACAGATGCATTCTCTAAATCAATCTGTGTTGTATCATTTTCCAGGGGAGGAAATTGTTATATAGATTTAGATATTTATAATATAGATATATACATATAGACAGGTATGGATTGATATATATAGAGAGATATAGATAGATTTAATTTATTTATATGTGTGTGCGTGTGTGTGTGTGTGTATCTCCATGGCATTAAATCACCTTCTATAACATTATCATTATTATTCTTGTTGCTATTATTTGGAGCTGGAGATTGAACAAAGGGCCTTGCATATGCTAAGCACACTGAACTATACCTCCAGTCCTATAACATTATTTTTAAGCATTGCAGGGTCCATGACAAGGTATATCCTACTTTAACCAATCTCCCTACTCCTGTTCCTCACTAGTTAAAATATTACAGTGAATAGCTACATGCTCTTTTAACATATGGAATTAATAAGACAACAACTATGCACATCTATAAGACTTTTTGCTCCATGTTCTCCATTACTCCTCAAAATATTGTATCAGCTTTCAATTCACTGTTATTCGTTTTCCCATAGCCTCATCAGTTCTAGGTATTCAGATTTTTTAAAGACCATGGTAACCTGCTTACATTTTTTTTACTATTAAGCATAGACATTTTAAAATATGATGATATGCATTTCTTCTTTGAGGAAATTTTTTGTTCATATCTTTTGTTCATTATTATTGATGAGATCTTTATATATTAAAGATATTAAGCCATTCTCTTTTGTATATGTGACACTTTGTTTTGATAGGACTGGTCTCAGAAGCTGTGCTTGTGCTAATTCTGATGTTTTAGTGTCAGGTTTTGTAGTAGTAAGCAATCGAGGAAGATGTGGGTATTTCAAAACTTGACATAAACAGACACCAAGAAGAGAAAGATTCCCTCCTCAGTGAGAATTCTCATACCACAGATACGTCTTTTCTAAATACCATAGAGTAGAGTGCCGATAAATAGCATTTTTTTCTTGCTTTTTGACATCTAGGGGGTGAGCTGAATTATGTTCATTTTGTAGATGAGAAATTGAGGCACAAGCAAGACATTAAGACAAGTGAGAATGGGACCTTACACCTGGGTTACCATCCTGTTCTATGATTATTTGCTTCTGTGCATCTGTGTCTATGTAGACTATGAGATCCCTCCTAGGAAAGGATCATGGAGTCACAGTAAGTACAATGTCTAGCACATATCACATGTTCAGAAAATATCTATCAATTGAATAAATGGCCACACTCCGTTTCCCCATCCCCTTTTCTTATTCTCTTTGGCTTCTTTTAGTCACTAGATGCAGAGGTGCAGGTAAACCCTGCATGCTCCCCTCAGATAACCCAAGGAGGGCCCCATGCAGATTTAGCCCACCTCTCTCTCCACGTCAGAGCCTGACAGCCTCTCTGTTGCACTGTAGGATTGCCATTTGCTCCCCCACAATAATGCCTGTAGTCCAGACTCAGGGAGTGGGGAGTCCTCCCCTTGTCTCACCCCTTGCCAGCCTCCTGGCTCCCCATAAAGGGCTTACCTAAAGGCCTCCAGCCCCTGATATAAAGCCTGGGTGTCACCACTGGATGATCGGAAGTCATTGAACATCAGGCGAGCCAGAGATTTCTGGACCATCTTGCAAAAGGGTGTGTGAAAGATCATATACTGTAAATCATCCAGGGTGAAAGGCCGGTCGATGCCAGCTGGAAAAGTAAGTGTGACAGCAAGGAGGTGACATGATGATGCACCACATAGATCTACTCTCTGAGCTCTAACTGTCCAAAGGACTCTAAGCCTCCCAGGGAACTAGCTCCTACCTCCAGCACATGCACATAAAGCTTGTTCTATTATTATTATTATTATTATTATTATTATTATTATTATTATTATTA